TCCCGGGCGGGGTCCGCCCCGGCCCGAGGGATGGAGCGGTGTGCGTGCTCCGCCGGGCGCGAGGTGCGGAGTGTTCTGCGGTGCAGGGGGAGCCCAGACCGCACGAGGAGATGACGTTCCAGGGGGATTTGAGCTCAGAAATGTGATGGTGGGGACTTCCCGGGGAGAATGAAACATTGCTGCGATGTTTGTGGAGTTCCCACTATGTGTAGGCCGGAGCAATTTCTGAGGAGGGAGGGCTTGCAGGAGGTGGAGCTGGTAGAGGTGTGAAGGAAGGAGGAGTGGGGGAGGAAAGTCAGGAGCTGGGTTATGGAGGGGACTTCAATTTAGAGTTTACTCTGTGCCACCAAGGAGCTTTTGACACATTAGAATAAAGGTCCGAAGTGACAAGGTAGCACTTAGCCAAGGTGAGGAGCCTTGCAGCTCTGGGCCAGGTGCTGGCTCCTGGACAAGACAGTTGCCCACTTTCCAGCACCTCTGTACATCCCCCCGTGTGCCGGCCCCACAGAGCCTCGTCTTGCTGCTCCTTCTTGCTTCCAGGGCTGACATAGCCATCCGGCCTGGGCATGTTCTTGGCTCCCTCTGCCCTTCCTTATGTTCCTCTCTTACTAGCGTCAGGTTGCAAAGAGCTTCTGTTTCCTGCTACCCGCCTCGCCACAGGTGTAGTAGCCTCCATGTTCTGTGTGCACCCAGCTGGGTGCTGCAGCAAGAATGGGAAGATGGATGTTCAGAGCATTCCCACAATGGAGAGCGAACCCCGTGGGTGGAGTGGGAGAGGGCAGTGTCTGCAAGTGCTCTGCTTGGCTGCCCTGGGTTTTGCCGGTCACAGTCATGGCTCCAGAGCCCTGCCTACCCTCCCTCCCCAGCTGTACCCTCTTTCATAGCTCTCCCTGTGTTCAGATTCTCCGTTTAACTGTTTTTTTCCTCCATCAGATTATGTGCTCCTGGAGGGCAGGGACTGTTAGCCAACTCACCTCTGACCCATGGGACCTGGCCCAGAACAGCCCATGAGCTCTTGTTTATTTAAACTAAAGGGGCTTGGCCAGCCTGGAGCACCACCCTGGACCTGCAGTGTCCATTCTTTCTAATCCTCACAGCAACCCTGGTAGGTCTTGTACCTATTCTACAAAACTGGGAAAAACTGAGGTTCAAACTAAGTCAGTGCTCAAAATAATATCGCTGGTAAATAGGGCTGGAACCCAGGTCAGCTGTTTACAGAGCCTGAACTCTGACATTTTTTCTTTCCCATCCCATCCCATTCCATTCCACCCGGTAGGTCTGGTTCTGTTGCCTCACACCTGTCATGTACCAGTAATAGCTACCAAACTAGTTGCCTCTGTTCTGGGCCCACACCACCTCTCTTTGGCATGTACATGGTCACTTCCCACAGCATTGCCTCCCTGCCAGAACTCTTGGTTAGCTCCTATTCAACCCATGTTTCAGGCTTTATGGCTTCCACATCCACTTCATGCCTTGTGGCCCACCCTCCGGCTTGAACGGAGCACCCCCAATCCATTCCCCACACCTCTGAGCTTGCATTGTGTCCTAGGACTGCAGTGGGCAGGGGCAAGGCCTGCTTGGTCATGGAATCCCGCCTGCCGTTCCTTCACCCCTAGTCACAGGATCCCTTCCTTGATAACGTCCCTCTTCGCGGACACCCTGGCCTCCGATCGTAGGAAAGTTCTTCCCCGTGTTGAGCTGTTAGCCCCATCAGCTTCAATGCAATCTCCTTCCCGACTCTTGGTTGCAAGTGATAAAAACTCAGCTTAGACTGGTGAGCAAAAGATGGGATTTTATTGACCCAGGTCCTGATAAGTGCAGAAGTAAAACTGGCTCGGGCATGAGTGGATCTAGCGTCCCTCATCCCCACCTTTCCATCCATCTGCAATCTCTTGGCTCTGCCTACCTCTGGGTTGACTTCCTTCTCAGGGAGGCTGTCTCCCTGTGGAGGCCCAGCAGTTTCTGGCTTACTTCCAACCAGCGTAGCAGCCCCAGTACAGCGAGGGTCCCTCTCTTGGAACCAGTCTTGGGACATAGGCCCCATCCCTGAACTGGTCACTATGACTAGGAGAATGGACTCATGCCTGCCTCCTGTGGCAGGGGGAGATCAGCATCACCTGGGCCAAAGGAAGATGGGAGTGTTAGAAGCAAATAAAGAAGAAATGGATGGTCACAGGTTACAGCAATAGCTAGCCATCCCCTCCCCCCCTTGTCCATCTCAGTAGGAAGGGAGCACTTCCTCCATGTTCCTGATCACTTGTCATCTCCTGGGCTGTTTATTCTCCTTGTTTTGTGCTCTGGTCACTTACAGTAGAGGTTTTGCAAAAGCTCTTCCTTCCATTGGCTTGATGGTCCTTCCTTGCCCTTCCTCTCCCCTCCAACTGATACCTGAGTTAACCCACGCAAATGCTTAGAACAGAGCTTGGCACATAAGCCTCTGCACATGTTAGCTGTTACTCTGTTGACTGTTAATACAAGCCCATCTGTCCTCCCAGAAGTCTGATAGTCCTGGTTGTGAATCTGGGCTCTGCCCTTCCCTGGTTGTATAACCGTGGACATGGTATTTTGCCTCAGTTTTCTCATTTGCAAAAGGAGATCATCCCAACCCCCTGGTGTTGTAAGAATTAAATGAGACAGTGCCTGGCACAGTGCAAGGACCCAGTAGGTGGTTATCATTTGTATGGTTGCTATTACCAATACAAAGCCTTTCCTGACCTTCCCAGTTAGAATTAAAAAGCACTTTGATCCTGTATTTAGCTCTTTCTTCATTCTGCCTTGTGGTGTGACAACACCTCGGCTTTCCTGTCTGCCTCACTCACCAGGGAGAGTCCAGAGGGTAAGGCTGGTGGGCCTCCCAGGGCCTAGAAGAAGGCAAGGGCTCTGTAAATGCTTGCTGACAAGGGAAGATATCCTTCCCAGCTCCCTTTCCTGAAAGCAGGGCTGCGAGTTGCTCTGGGGATGCAGGTGGAGCTAGCTCAGCCTCTGTATCCTGGTTGCAGGTACGAGAATGGAAGGAGCAAGGCAGCAAGACCTTCATGTGCACGGGGCGCCCTGGCTGGCTCACTGTCTCGCTCCGGGTTGGGAAATACAAGAAGACACACAAAAACATTATGATCAACCTGATGGACATTCTGGAGGTGGACACCAAGAAACAGGTGAGAGTGGCATGGTTCCCTGGCTCTGGGAGTGGGCGGGGCACTGCCCCTGGTCCAAGTGACTTGCAGCGAGATGATTTCAGCCAAGGGCATCCCAGAGTGGATAGGACTGAGAACCTTGGCCATCACAGAAGGCCCTACTGACCACTGCCAGCCTCTAAAGCCTCACAGCTTTGAAAGAGATTAGTTATAGCCCCATCTCACAGGTTGGCAAATTGAGCGTTCAAGGGGATTCTTTGATTATCTGCAGTTCCACAGGAAGACAGATGGGGAAATCCTGGGCAAAATGAGCGACAGAGGGAACCTATTTAGCCTTTGCTGGTAAGGAAGTATGCTAGCAACCAAGGGGCCGTGGAAGTAGCTGGGAAGGGTGGGCCTTGTCCCAGGCTTCTGGGGACCCACTTGTTAATAGCTGTAGACACATGCAGATTCTTTGGCCTGTCTAGTAATTCTATTCTAAAACCTGGCTAAGGAAACAGGAAGCAAGCTTTAATCAAAGACAACACAGAGAAAGGTTGTACCACAGCTTGTGTGCTTTCTTCCTTTCTTTCAATCACAGTTTCATTTCTAATCCAAGACAACACAACATCCAATAGTAGAGAGTTATTAGATATATATATCTACATGAAGGCATTTTGTTTTGAGGCCTTGGCCAAATTACATAATCTCCTGTGCCTTTCCCCCCTACATAGCTGTATTGAAATATACTTGATATATGATAAACTACACATAACGTACAATTTGATCATATATTTTGACACATGTATGTGTACACCTGTGAGACCATTACCACAATCAAGACAATGAATAATACCAATTACTCCAAAAGTTTCTTCCTGCGCCTCAGTAATCCCTTTTGCGGGCTCTCTGACTCTTCCCTCACATCTCTAGGCAAATAATGACTTGCTTTTTGTCACTGTAAATTTGTTTGCAGTTAGACTTTTGTAGAAATGGAACCATGCATTATGTACTCTTGTCTGGTTTATTTCACTCAGCATAATTATTTTGAGATTCATCCAGGTTGAAGCATGTGTCAGAAGTACATTCTGTTTTATTGCTGAGTAGTATTCCATTGTATGAGAGGAAGGGAGCGGGAGAGAGATAGAAACATCAATGAAAGAGACTCATTGATTGGCTGCCTCCTGCACACCCCCTACTGGGGATCGAGCCCAAAGACCCGGGCATGTGCCCTGACTGGGAATCAAACCCGGGACCTCTTGGTCCATGGGATGACACTCAATCCACTGAGCCACCACAGCTGAGCCCAACAAGAAATCTCTTATCCTTATCTTTGTTCCTCTGTATGTTACATGTCATTTTTCTCCACCAGCTGTTTTTAAGATTTTTCTCTTTATCACTAGTTTTGAGCAGTTTAATTATCATATTCCCTGGTATAGTTTTCTTCATAATTCTTGTGCTTGGGAGTCATTATAATTTTCATCAAATTTGGAAATTTGGTTATTTCTTCAAGTATGTTTCTGTCTGCTACCCTCTCCTCTTTAAGGACTGCCATCATACAGATATTAGGCCACTTGAAGTTGTTCCACAACTCACTCTGATACACTGTTGATTTTAATTTTTCTTCCTAGAATGTTTCATTTTGAATAGTTTCTATTGCTGTGTGTTAAGTTCGCTGCTCTTTTCTTCTGCAATGTCTATTTTCTGTTAATCCCAGCCTGTGTATTTTTCATCTCAGACATTGTGGTTTTTATTTCTAAAAGTTTGATATGGGTCTTTTTTTTTTTTTACTATCTTTTTAATGTCTTTATTTAACTTTTGAACATAAGGAATACAGCAGGAATTATTTTAATGCCATTGTTTCCTAATTTTAATATCTGTCAAATCTGGGTCCATTTTGTCAAAACAGATTAATGAGTTTTCTCCTCACTGTGGGTTGAATTTGTCCGCCCCTTTGTGAGCCTAGTAAACTTAGATTGGATTTTAGACATTGTGCATTTTACCTTGTTGGGTGCTGGATATTTTTGTATTCCTATAACCCTTCTTGAGCTTTGTTCTGGGATGTAGCTAAGTTACTAGGAAACAGTTTGATGCTGTTGGGTCTTGATGTTTCAGGTGGGGTCAGAGCAGCATTTAAATCCAGGGATAGCTATTCCCCTCGGGGAGGCAAGACCCTTCTGGGGACTCTACTCAATGCTGTGTGAAGCATGAGGTTTCCAGTCAGCTCGTGGGAACATATTCTGTTCCCTGCACTGTTACCTGTTGTCCTTTCTGGTGGCTCGATCCCTGGCCTCAGCCTCGGGTAATCTCCTAGTGTATGCACTGGTCTGTACTCGGTTGAATACTCAGTGGGCACCCTCTGCAGCTCTTCAGTTTTCTCTCTGTACAGTTTCCTCTCCAGTCTCTGTCCTGCAAATTCTATTCACCTCAGTTTTATGGGCTTTCAACTCAGAGTCCATGGGGCCCCTGTGTTCCCCTCTCTCTGCTCCCCCTCTAAGCGATCATTAACTTCATTGCCTAATGCCCACTATGTTGAAAACTCTTGCTTTATATATTTTGTCCGTTCTTTGTTTTCAGGCAGCAAGGTAAATCTGGTCCCTTTTGTTCCATCTCGTTGAAGTCCACGCGATGGCATATTAATGTCACATTAATAATCACATTTTCTGAGAGTTTTTAATAACGACAAACAATAGTTATCATATTGTGTTAAATTTTAAAAGTAAGATAAGAATGTGTGTGTTTGTATTTGTATGTCTATACATTGTATTAAAACATACAAAATAGCAATATAAACATACGTGGAAAAAGACTGGAAAGACATACACTCTGGTATTAGCATTGATATGGATGACTTTTATTTTCTTCATGTATGATCTTCCAAATCTGTAATCTAGAAGAAAAATAGACTAAGTATTAAGTGTGAAGATATTTGAAAGGATAAGATTAAACCATAGCAAACCCAGAGCCAGAAACCCCATTCACTGGAAGGAAAGACACTGTAAAGGCTGAGTAGGCATGTCCGCATTGATCGTTTGGGACGGTTTGAAGGACACCTGCATGCAGAAGCCCCCGTTAGGCCTGGCAGCCTCCTTGTGACTCAGGGTTTCTCTTCTTGTGTCAACAGATTGTCCGTGTGGAACCCTTGGTGACTATGGGTCAGGTGACCGCCCTGCTGACCTCCATTGGCTGGACCCTGCCTGTGTTGCCCGAGCTCGATGACCTCACAGTGGGTGAGGACTCAGACGGTGTTAGGATCAGAGTTGAGGCACCTTGGCCCCCCTTCCCTCCAGTGCAGGAGTCTCCACTGTTCCATCCGTGACAGAAGTTCCCCCCAGTTCCAGAGGCTCCCCGCCTGACATTTACTTTCTAAACAGCTCAAAAGATCAGGCAGCACTTCTCAATCTCTGGCTCGAATCTGCTTCCCTGTGACATATGCACGGCTCCAGCTCTGCCCTGTGGAGCACACAGAATATGTCTAGTCTCTTTCCTTCTGGAGGACTTGGGGTCCCCAAAGCCTTCTCTTCTCCAGGGGACACACCTTCAGTCCCTTTAACTGTTCCCATGGGACACAGCTTCCTGCCACCCAAACAACCCCCCCTTTCCATTAAGGTCCCTGTGAAAAGGAATGCACACAGGTTTGTAGGTTGGGTCTGGCCAGAGGTGAGGGTGTGCATGCCCTTGACAGGGTCTCTTATCCGTCCCCTTCCTCTGAGCAAGCTCTCACACTCCCACCTGACCCCTCCCTTCTCTCTCCCACTCTCCAGATCCACAGGCATGGGAAATCTCCCCTAAGTGGACAGCCCATTCTGCGAGCCCGGTCATATCATTGTGCTATGAGCTCCCAGCTCCAGTGAAGTGCCCTTTACCCAATCCCTGCCTCCCCTCGCACCCTACACCCCGCACCTCCTCCTGGCTAACACGTGTGTCTCTGCAGGGGGCTTGATCATGGGCACGGGCATCGAGTCATCGTCCCACAAGTATGGCCTGTTCCAGCACATCTGCACCGCCTACGAGCTGGTCCTGGCCGATGGCAGCTTTGTGCGATGCACCCCGGTGAGTTCACAGTCCGATGCCCCACCTGCCTGTCCTGGGCACCCAGGAGCCTGGCACTGGGGAGGTGGCGCCTTGGGTGTGCTTTATCTCAAATACCGTGGTTCAGTCTAGGTCTGTATTCATAACAACAACCAAGATTTAAATAGCCCCTTTATGTGTTCAGACACTGTTTAAATGCTTTACATACATTAAGGCCTTTAATCCCTCAACAACTTGATGAGTTAAGTATATTATTAGCCACATTTTATAGATAGGAAAGTAAAGCATAGAGAGGTTAATAAACTTACCCCAGGTCACAGCTAGTAAATCACACAGAGCTGGGTTCGAATCCAGATTATTGAGCTCCCAGGTCAATGTCCTTAGCCATCCATTACACTATACCACTTCTGTAGGGAAGTCAGGCCTTGGAATCAAAGCTCCGTGTCAGATGCTGTGAGGGGTAACTAAAAGCGGTAAGAGAGGTAGTTTTGGAGAAATAAAAAAAATAATTTACTGCCCAAAGTGGGATACAGACATTAGGGCATTTATCCCCAGGAGTAGGACAGGATTGAACCTTAGAGAAATCAGATCTCCCAGGCCTAAGGGGCCCCTGGGTGGGAGGGCAGTGCGAGCCTTTAGAGCGGCTGTTTCAGGGAGCCTCCGTGTCGGCCTCACCGAAGAGTCCAGAGCAGGATCCCCAGCTCGGGAGCTCGGGTCTTGGACAAGAGCAGCCTCTTTCACATCAGTGTAGTCCATTTCCCTGAACAGATGGGCCCTGCCTTCTGGCCTATTTATTACCAGCACAGAGAAGAGGCAGACATTCGTAAGTTACCTTCTCCGAGGCCCAGGTGCCCGTCTGACAGATGCGCTGTCAGGAGAAAGTCGCATGCGGCAGACGCCCGGAAATTGCTGCTGTGATCTGACTGTGGGATTAACGGGTGGCCCAGCTGGGGACCGTTGCCCACTTCGGCTGTTCCAGCGTCTTCAGCCGGCCTCTTGCAGAGCATCCCTGCTCCAGCCCTGCCCCTCCGGCTATACTGAGGGCAGCAAAGACCACACAGCGGTCCTCTGGGTAGAGCCCAGGCAAAGCCGGACTTTTTCAAAAGGCACTTTATTGGGATCTAAGAATCAGTTTAGGGTGGCCAGCTGAGAAGTCCCTGTCTCTAAGGCAGTTGCCCAAACGAAGTGATGCTGTTAGGAAGCCGATGAGGCTTTGCAGGGAGAACGTGGAGTGGGATCTAAGAATCAGTTTAGGGTGGCCAGCTGAGAAGTCCCTGTCTCTAAGGCAGTTGCCCAAACGAAGTGATGCTGTTAGGAAGCAGATTTGGGGAAGCAGATGAGGCTTTGCAGGGAGAACGCGGAATCACTGGCTTGGGGGTTGGATGGCATCTCAGCGCTCGCAGTGGGGAGGCTTGGGTGGGCTGTGACCATTGACACATGTTCCTTGTCTGTTTGACTGGAGTGTTAATGCTCTCCCTAGGCTGTGGGGGGAGTCCATAGCGAATGGACTGGGAAAGGCTTTGTAAATATGGATAATGGCCCAGAAGGGAGGCATTTTAATGTTCCTCTGGTGACCATGACCCTCGGTAAGGGTTCTGCTCTTTGTTTAGCCTGGGTTGGCCCTTGGCCCCCTGTTTTGGGTCTTTGGGCCGTGCTGGTCCTGGCTTCTCCCTGGGTAGCCTGTGGTCTGGGGGCTGTGCCTAGGTGGAGGAGGGAGGAGGCACTCTGTGTGAGCACCCCCAAAAGGGCCGTGTCAGGCCAAGGTCATGCTGAGGCTGCAGAGGGAAAGCTGAGGCCAGAAAGCACAGCTTGTGACGTGCCTGCGGGTTCACACAAGATGGTGACAG